CTGCAGCGCGTGCGGGAGGCTGCCTTTGGGCCCGGGCAGGCCTTGCTTCCCCTAGTGCACGTGCTGGACCTGGAGCCGCGGGGCTACATCAAGCCCCATGTGGACAGCGTCAAGGTGGGCTAACTGCAGCCTGGGCGCTCCCTGTAGCAGGGGTGTAGTGTGGGCCCGTGGCCTCATCCCACTATTCCCCCTTGCAGTTCTGCGGAGCCACCATTGCTGGCCTGTCCCTGCTGTCCCCTAGTGTCATGCGACTGGTGCACACCCAGGAGCCTGCAGAGTGGCTGGAACTCTTGCTGGAGCCAGGTTCCCTCTACATCCTTAGGTACTGCCAGCCAAGGATCCCCAGACCCCGAACAGGGCACTTGTCTGACACCCACAGAGTCCTGGCAGCAGCCACCATTACGCCCATTCTGCAGACTGGGCAGGTGCTGTGAGCTTGCTACTGGGCCTGGGACCTGGGACTGTACAGGCACTTCCCCATCCCTAGTCCCAGCCTCTGTTTTCTCTTGCAGGGGCTCGGCCCGCTATGACTTCTCCCATGAAATCCTTCGAGATGAAGACTCCTTTTTTGGGGAGCGCCGGATTCCCCGAGGCCGACGCATCTCTGTGATCTGCCGCTCCCCCGCTGAGGAGGTGGGGTTAGGGGAGCCCGGACAGCCCCCTGCAGCCTGCTGACCGCAGACTTTCCCCCCCCCGACCTGACACGGACACGGTCTGTGAATAAAACTGGAGAAGTACCACCCGACCTTGTCTGTGGGGCTGGAGTCTGCAGGGGAAGCCCAGCCTCTGCCCACTCACTGGGAGTCGAAGTGGCAAGTCTCAAGCCCAGCTGAACACACAGTCCCCAGGCAAAAGAACATTTCCTTTATTGTGGCAACTGCTGGAGCCCCAGCCCACATCCCCTTCTCTTCCCTGCACCCGAGTCTCCAATAAATAAGTGAGCGTGCGAAGTTTTATTCACTGCAGCTACAGGCGGCTGCCGAGAGCTGGACCAGCCGCTGCCAGTGGTGGCGGTCATCGAGGAAGGTCACGTCGGCGTAGCGGGTGGGCCTGCAGCAGGGCCCGCCATAGGCACGGCCCTGGCCCCGCAGCCGGGCCAGTGTCAGGCCATGCTGGGTGTGAGCACCGCGAGGGCAGCTGCCGGCGCAGTAGCGGAAGATGACCCTCTCCTCGGAGGTGTAGCCCAGGCCCAGTTCGGCCACTGGCAGGGTCAGGCTCCACAGCTGGCATGGGCTGGCCAGGGCTCGGCGCAGGCGGGCAAGAGGGTGGCGGCTACCTGCAGGGGAGAGGAGGCAGCTGACAATGGACAGGGCCTGGACAGGCAGGAGTTGGGGATCACACGGGGGAGTTGGGGTCCTTACCCAGCCATGGCCTCTGAGTCCCTCCAGCCTCCACTGTGTGCTCAGCCGAGATCTCTCCAGACCCCGCCACTGGGGACCCCAGAGCAGCAGGGCCCCAGCTGAGGTCCAGGAGCAGCCCCAGGGGCAGCAGACAGCTGAGCAGGACTCCTACCAGAGCCATGGTGACAGGCAGGTCCTGAGCGCAGAGCCCCACACCCTCAATATATGGCCCTGTCTGGGCTGGGGGGGGGGGTGTCACTCCTCCCTGCCATGCCCCAAGACTTGGGACCCAGGCAACGGATCCTGCCCCACCCACCTGTGCTGCTACGAGCTAAGGGCTCACACCCCCCGAATCCAGACATTCCACAGGCCCGTTTCCGACACCCCCTCAGCCTCCTGATTTACGAGGGCGGTGCGGCAGCCAGGGCTCAGCCCAGGACGGGTGACCAGCAACCCCAGCCCCACCACCCGATAGCAGCAGGGAGAGAGGGTGCTGTGGGACACCCCCTCACACACACACGATGCAGGCCTTCCCCACTACTCGGGTGCTGAGGCCCAGGAGCCCCTGCCTGGCCTCCCAGGTACAGCAGCCGTGTGGCCAGGGAGGGGGGCCGCCAGGTGGGAGCAGAGGACTCCCCACCAGGCTCCCCGCTGGAGGATTAAGACATCATGCCTGTCTCCGGACCAGCGCAGCCAGTGTCAAAACAGGAAGAGGGAGAGGCTCGGGGACAGCCAAGGGCCAGGACGCCCAGGGCAGGAAGCTCATCCCTGGGGGAGTCCTGTCTCTAGAGGGGACCCTGGGGACCCTCCTAGGGTCCAAGAGCATCAGCCCAGGGGAGGCCTGGGAAGCACTGGGTCTCGGTGACAACCAGCCCACTGGAGGAGGCAGCAGGTCCTGGTGACACAGACTGGTGGCTTCCATGCCTAGCTCTGTGTCGCCCTGGAAAATGAGCCAGCATGCCGTCATCCTCCCCACAGGGTCCGCTGAGGACTCCTCATCACCACGGGGCTGATCCTGACTTGCGGTGACCCTGCAGGCCAGCAGACCCGCCCCAGAGGGTCCTCCAGGCTGTAGTCGTTGTGAGGGCGGATTGCCAGGTGTTTCTTCTGTGGAACTGCTGGCAAGTTCAAAGCAGCAGCTTTCCAGTTGGCAGCCAGGCGTTTAACCAGTGCCACCAGGACTCCTTCGGTGAGGACAGAAAGGACGTAGCACCGCAGCTGGCACAAAGGAGCTTCTGAGAGCTGTTGAGGCAAAGGAAACCCAAACCGCTTGGTCTCGTGTAAAACTCAAACAAGACCCCCCACCTCGAGAGTGGCAAAAAGCAAGTGTCTAACACACTGCCAGGAATCCCTGGGGGTGCCATTAGTTACACGCTCAACCAATAGCCTACAAGGGGTGCCTGGGAAGAAAGGCCTGGTGACCTGCTTCTGAGGGCACGGCCTCGAGAGCCCTATGGGGCAGCTCTGCTCTGCACACGCTGGGCTGCCAGACACTGGAGTCGACCCGACGGCAAGCACCCCGTACACGGTAGGATGGTAGGATGGGGCACCGTGCATGCCAGCAACTCTCTGAGCGGCCAGCTGAGCAGCTGCTACTGAGACTGCAGCCACGGGGCTTTGCCCCAGCCACTCTGCATCAGGAACTCATCTGACGCAGGCGCAAGGAGGCCCATCCCAAGGCGGTCACTGCTGTGGGGATTAGTCAAACGCCGGAGGGAGATGACCCACACCCACGCACAGGCCAAGTTAAACCGCTTTGCTGTGGCTGTGACCCACACTCCTTATGCAGGCTACCTTCAGACGACAAAAGGGAGACACCGAGGCAGTCATGTGCTCAGTCACCCGTAACTGAGACGGAGCTGGGACCTGACCGGAAGCACTGCCCGGCTGCAGGCGGAAAAGCCACAGCCTCAGGAGAAAGGCCCGACAGTCTGCATCTGAACACCAGCCCCTGAAAACCCTACAGAGCCGGGTTCTACGCTGACGCAGGCAGGGGCGCCAGGAGTCAGTGTCCACCTGACGGTAACTGGCTTGCTTTTGGTTGTGCAGCTGGGAGAGGGGGGCATGAATCCACCAGGGCAGGGCAAGAGCTTCCTTTCCGCTGCCCCAAAAAGGCCGGGCGGAAGGATGGGGCAGAGGCCAGACCAACCTGGGACATTCCTAGGAATTAGCCAGACATCTCAAGCATTCCCACTTGGCAGCCAGGGGACTGCAGAGCAGGGCGGGGAAGGCTTGCCCGCCCGGATGAGACGAGGCCCAGCATCCTGCCCCAGCCAGAAAACACGCAACTGGGGTTCAAATGCAGCACCTTCAGCAATATGAACACCAACCCAGTGCCCATCAAGGCGGCCCTCGGCACGTGAACTCATGGATGGCACGGTAGAGCTGTTCCACGGGGCTCTCGGTGACGGAGTTTTCAGATCACCAGGCCTTTCTTCCGACATACCTCTGGGTGGACTCGACCCTCCAACCTTTCAGTTGGCAGCAGAGCACTTAAACTGTTTGCAGGGCAGGGCTCCGCTGCAACACTGTCCGTGAACTTGAAAAACCGTCCTCTACATGCCACCCAGCAAAGCAGGGTAAGAGAAATGTACAGTGGATCCTCGAACCCTGAGGTTTGGGGTACAGAACCCCCTGCAGTTGGAAATCCACATGTAACCTGACTCCCTAAAAACTTTGCTGTTGACAGAAGCCTAACCAGCCACAGAGAGTCGATTAACACAGTTCTTGCCGTAAAGTCACTAGATTCTCACATGAAGACACTCAAACACACAATAGCTAAGTGTATGAAGTGTACGGCAGGATGGTTACCATTCAGTTCATCAAATGGACCATCATAAAGGCCTTCACCCTCGTCATCACGTTCAGACTGAGGAAGTGGTGGGCTCCTCATGCTGGGTCAGGGGTTACAGAGGAGGAAGTGGAAAGGGGGGAGAGGCCGGCACACTTGATATAACTTCACAGAAACGTATCGTAATTTCTGCCCGGTGCTTGTCTTTCCATCTCTCTAAAGATGTTTCTATACAGTAAATCCTTCTTCCACTGTTGGCTTTAGTGTCAGTGCCTGTCTCACAGAAGGGCCCAGGTCGTAAGCGAAGGCAAAGGTGATCCTGAATGACTGGGACATGTCTGCCAGATTTTTTTCTTCCCCCAAATCTGCATTAAGTGGACTGTGCAGTTCCAACCTGTGTTGTTCAAATCAACTGTATAACCAGCTGGTAAGAAAATCAGGGAAGCCCCCAAAACATCACTGAGGAAATGAAAAGTTTCCGGACTGCTGACATAGGTGATGAAGGGGTCTGGGTTTGCAAGGCCACGCAGGGACAGAGCCCGAGCTGAGAACTGCACAGAAAACAGTGCTGGTTGGTGGTCCTGGGGCGCCTGGCAGAAGCAAAGGCCAAACCATTCTGGAAGGGCTTGCTCAGAATTCTGACAGCAAGAGGGCCCCTCACTGACCCCAGGTGCCCCTTCCCAAACTATGGACCACAAGAAACGGTCACCAAGGAGAGTCGGAAGACACAAGACCCCGTGAACTTAGGATGGCAGACGTGTCTGACAAAGATATAAAATAAGAGAGACTTCAAATAAAAACTTACAGCATCAAAAGCCTAAATAGAAGATGCGGTACCATCAAAGCAGACTGGCTGCTCTAGGAAAGATAACTCAGAGAGAGCAACAGAACACAGGTACTACACAGGGCTACACGGAGGGTGAAGGCGGGAGGCCCAGTGAGCTGAACGTGAGCTGAAGAAATTACTCAGAACGCACCACTACGGGGCAAGGTCAGGTGGTCAGTGGAGCAACGAGTTGGAGGGAATGTGAGGGACTGGCAGGTGGCTCAGTGTTTCAGCACTCAGCTAACAGAAAGCTCGGCTGTTTGAACCCACCAGCAGCTGTGGAAGACAGACCTGGCAACCCGCTCCCGTACAGATTACAGCCCAGCAAACCCCGTGGGGCAGTTTTACTCTGTCACGTGGGGCTGCTGAGTCAGAATCCACTCGACAGCACCTAACAACAGGCACTTAAAGGGACCACAAGAGTCCCTGGGTGCTGCCATTACCATACCCAGTTGTTCACCGAAAGGTCAGAGGTTCAAGTCCGCCCAGAGGTAACGCAGCAGACAGGCCGGCAGTCTACTTCCGCAAACGCAACCACTGACAACCTTGTGGAGCCCAGCTCTGCTCTGACGCACACGGGGGGGTGCCGGGGCCAGCAACAACTCAAGGCGGCTGTGTGTTTTTTTTTGTTTTCTTTTGCTTTTTAAAGTTCCAGGAGGAGGAGCCAGAAAGGAGGACAGAAGGGTAAGGAAGCAAAGAAGGCAAAGACTCTTCCAGAATGGATGAAACGGGACTGCTTGGGTGCAGGGAGCAAGCCGAGCTGTCGGCAGCCCCAGGACAGCGAGCGTGCACGCGGCGCCCTCTGGCGGCCGCCTCACTCCTTGAGGGAGAAGTGCATCTTGTCGCTGATCATCTTGCGCTCGGGATTGAGGCGCTTGAGGATCTGTGCCAGCACGTTCACGGTCTGCTCGCTGCTCAGCCCCGTCTTCTTGGTCTGGAACTTCTTGAGCAGGTCCTTGGTGGTCATGGGTTTGCGCGTCAGGTAGCGGCGCACGGCGTCCTCCGTCACCTGCACGTCACTGCGAGCGGAGGGCAGGAGGTGGGTGGGTGCGAGTCAGGGGCCTACCTTGCAGCCCCCGTCCTGCCCCACCACCCTCGCCCACCTACCTGCTGCTGGGGGTGGACTTCCCAGACTGGGGCTGCGGGGTGGACTTCCCGGACAGGCTCTGGGGCCCGGCGTCCATGCGGAGCCGCTTGGCTGTGGGCACGTCGCTGGTCCGCTTGCCTGTGGAAGCAGGGTCAGGGTGAGGCCTGCCTGAGGGGTGGAAGCCCGGGCCAGGCGGCGCGCAATGATAGGTGCTGGGGCCTGGAGCCCGCAGCACGCACTGGAATCTACTCCTCTCAGTGCTCCCGACCACCTCAGCGAGCAACCTAGCTTCCAAGCCTCAGCGTCCTTGTCACACGGGTGACAACACTCCCCATGCCACGAGGTGAGGACGCTGGGCAGGGGTACCAGCTGCTTCGTGCCTTTTCCTCCAACTCTGTGTGACCTCAAGGAAGAGGTCCCTCTGGGCTAAGAGCCAGACATGGAGTGGGAAGAACAAGAGCACAGCTGTGGGGACCAGGGTGGGACGGATGGCTGTGGACCTTGCTCCAGCTTGTTGGCGGCCGCCCGCAGGGTGGACGGGGTGCTGCTGCTCTCGGCGCTCGGTGTGCCGGGCCGGCTGTTCCCCCGGGAGCTGCCTCCCGATGGCTTCCGCTCCCTCTTGGGGGGCGTCTTCTTCTTCTGTTGGAGGCAGGGGTGTAAGTCATTGAGCAGAAGCCCGTGTCCCCCCCACCACGTCCCCACTGGGCTGGGCCTCACCGCCATGAAGAGGGCTGAGGAGGCCTCACTGTCAATGTCACTTTCCTCTGAGCTGTCCGACTCATCACTGCTGTCTGCACAGCAGGAGGGAGGGGTCAGGACCACAAAAGGCTGGGCTGAGACCCCACACTCACTCCTCATCCCGGACAAGCAGGGCCAGGGTGCACCTGAGCCTCAAATGCTGAGGCCAGCAGCGATCCCACCTTTCCTGCGCTTTTTCTCCTGGGGGTTCGGGGCCTTCTTTTCCTCCTCCTCCTCCTTGTCCTCCTCGGGCGGCTTCTCCTCCTCACTCTCCTCACTGCTCTCACTCTGCTCGTCCACACCTGACGGGGCAGGGGGTGAGCCTCCGGGAGGCTAAGTAGTGTCCCCCCCATTCCTACCCCCCACAGCCCCTCACCTACCCTTGGGACCCTCTTCCTGCTGGGTCACTCTGGGCTTGCCTTCCATCTCGTCCTGGGAGCTGCTGTGAGACAGAGTGGGCTCGGGGATGAGCGGGTCCCCCCAGCCGGGCTGGGGCCGCCCCTGCGGCCGCCCGCTGCCTCACCTGGAGCCATCAGACATGTAGTCTACCTCCTGGCCCTCAAAGTCCCCATCGTCGCTGTCCTCGAAGGCCTCGTCATCCGACCCTTTCTTTTTCTTCTTCTTCCTGCCCGCCTTCGCTGGCGGCGCCTTCTTCTTGGCCTTGGGGGGCCTGCCGCCTGCAGGGGGGAGAGGAACAGGTGCAGTAGCTCGGCGGGGCTCGAGCCGGGCCCCGACCCACCCTGCAGCCGGGCCGCACCCTCCTCGCCGCTGGCCTCGCTGTCGTCGGAGGACATCTCCAGGTCGTCCTCCAGGTCGTGGATGCGCAGCTCGCTGGCCTTCTTGCGGCCACGCTTCTCCTTCTCCTCCCCCTCTTCGTCCTGGTCCTGGTCCTTAAGCCGCCGCTGCTGCATGATGCTGAAGTGGTTCAGGACCTTGTTCCTCCTGCAGCGGGGACGGCAGGTGCGGCTCAGCGCCTCCCTCAGAGCCCTCGGGCCCGGCCTTCCCACCAGCCGCACCTTCACCTGGCGGTTCCGAGGGCGGGCAAGTACCAGACGCCATCCAGAGGACCCCAGCATGGGGCACCAAATACCCTGGCATCCTACCAGGAGAAGAGTGGGCCCCTTCCAGTTCACTCTTAGCCCTAAGACCCTCAAGAAAAAGTCTGGGTGTAATGCCAGGGTCTTAACCCCTGCACTGAGTCTTACTCAGATAACAGAATCTAGCCAAAACCTATTAACACCCTTCTGCTTTTGGCCTTCCACACGGGAGACCCGGGTTCAGTGCCTGGCCAACGCACCTCATGCCAGAGGGAGCTCTGGGGCATAGTGCCTAAGGCATTTGACTGCTAACCAGAAGGCTGGCGGTTCAAACCCACCAGCCACTCCTCGGAAGGAAGACTGGGCAATCTACTGCCTTAGTGATACCGCCTCGGAAACCCAAGGAGGGCTCGCTGTGAGTCGGATGCGACTCGAGGGCAGTGCGTTGCATTTTTTGCGTTGCCCCTCACGCGCAGCCCCCACCCGTCTGTCCATGGAGACCTGCGTGTTGCTAGGACGCTGAACCAGTTTCAGCAGAGCTTCCACATGAGATGGACTAGCAAGAAAGGCTGAAGCCCGACTTCCGAAAATGAGCCAGCGAGAGCCCTACGGATGCCGAGGGTCAGATGTGCGACCGATCGTGGTGCTGGGGAAGGACCCGGCAGTTTTGTTCCACTGTGCAGGGGGCTGCTGCACAGAAGGGGAGCGCTGAGTACCACTGCCCAAGGACCTCTGCACAGGGAGCCTGTCTACCCGAGGAAAAGGCTGTCAAATGTCACACCATCCCTGCAGACGCTGATGGCTGCTCCATTCCACATTCCTGTCTATGGGAAGCAAGGGGGCCCAAGGTGCACTCACCCCACGTGGCTGGATCACACTGCAGGTCTCCACTCTGCATGGCGGCCTCTGGCTCTCAGGACACCCTGGCTGCCCCCACACCGGCCCTGCTGTGAAGCTGCCTGGCTGCCTGCCTGTCTCCCCAGTGGACTGTAAGGACTATGAGGTCTGGGAGGTCTGCCTTGGTCTCCCAGCAGGCCACTCACCTCTCCCACTCCTCCTCAGCCTCCTCGGCCGTGAGCGTGCGGTGCCGGGCCAGCGGCATGAAGTTGTACCAGTTGTGCACTGGGAAGGCCTCGAAGGCGCCGTCGGGGCATTGGGTGAAGATGTAGTAGGATGTGTTCTCCGTCACGCCCCCCTTCTTCACACCCTTGAACCTATGAAGAGCCGCAGTCACAGCCTGCCCTGTGAGTCTGGGGCCATTCCATCAGCCCCCAGAGTCCTGCTTCCGCCCCCAGTCCTGTGACCTCCACAGAGGCGCATGGCCTCTCGGAGCAAAACCCAGGACTCTGAGCTCTGTGCAAATAATCTGTGAGGCCTGGGCAGCCTTCCAACCATGTGAGCCTCGACTTCTGCACCTGGAACAAGGGCCAGCCTGCCAAAGCTGCAGAGCCGAGGGGCCAGCCCCCACAGCTACACAGAGCTGGGCAGGTGCCAAGCTATAGAGACAACCCTGGAACCAGAGCCAACTGCGTCTGTGGACTACGTGGGGGGGAGGGCCTGAGGAGCTGGGTGGGAACGGGACAGGAAGGTACGAGACTCTGAAGTCAGAGCTAGCCCAGATCGCCGTCACCGTGAGCCAGGAACACTGTCCCGCCTCCTCCCGGCCCCACCACAAACTTTTCCACCTAGAATCAGAGCCATCTTTGTCTAGGAGCCTCACCTGCCTGCAACGGGCCCAAGGCTCTCCAACATCCTGGTGTCTGCTGCCTTCACCCGCCTTCTCCAGCCCTCTGGGCACTGACCACTAACATTGAGCTTTTACCACTAACTCTCCGGACACTTCCACCACACACTGGAACAGGCCCTGGAGCCCGAGGCCCATTTCACAGCTCTGTGCACACCTGCATGTACGGAACCCCTACCCCTCACCACTCTCGCCAGCCGCCCTCTCCAGGAGTCCCCGCTGACCCCCCTGTACATCCCTTTACATGCACAGCCATCACTGGGGCTTCCTGCATCCCAGCACTCAGAGCCAGGCACCAGAATCCACTCAGCTCACCCACAAAAGAAAACCCTCAGCTCAAACTGACAAAAGCCACTGGCAACAGCAGACAGGAAGCTTAGAGGTAGTAAGCTCATGCTCCTGTGGGAGGAGCAACCCAGAAAAGAGAGTGCAAATGGCTGCACAACTCGAAGAAGGGGATCAGCGTGGAGACACTCCTGACCTGGTGCATGGAATAAATCAATAAATAACACCCTTGGAAACCAAACTTTCCGGACACAAGGACACTGGAGGAGCCCCCGAATCCACTGCCTGGAATAGACTTTTAACTCTTCCAGCAGAACCATGCTATGAAGCTATTGTTATACTGAACACATTCAGCTCCACAGAAGGTCTGCCCTGAGCCCAGCACTCACGAACAGAATGACGCCTAGCCGAGCAAAATGCCAGCGGTGCTTCTAAAGCACGGGGAGAACTTGAGGGGCAGCCTACACTAACCGTGCAGAAACAGGAGAGGCAGACAGAGAGGCTGACCCAACGTGACACCACGTAACCACTGGCAACAAACTGGACATGGCAGTCCTGCCCTGTCACCCCCCATAAACAGAAGCTGCGGCTCAAGGTCTGCAGCTGAACAGGGGTGGCCCCTAGCCTGGCCCCGCCCCACGTACTTCCGGCCCGCCTTGCCGTTGACGCGCAGCAGCCAGGGCTGGTCTTCCGCGCGGAACTCCTTGAGGACGATGCCGTACTTCTTCCGGCGCGCCTCCTCGCGGAGCTTACGGTTGAACTCGCTGCCGGCGCCGGACTCGGGCATCTCCTCCTCCTGGTATATCTTCTTGTTGCTCAGGTCCCGCTCCAGCCGCGCCTGATGGGGAGGGGCCCAGGGAGAACAGCCTCAGGGGCGTGGCCTCGACCCGGGCTGGGTCCCGTGGGCAACAACCCTCACTGTTGTCAAGGTGAACTGCGGACCCGAGGCCGCTACTACCTGCTCGGCGAAAATGGGGTGAAATGTGAACACTCGGGGAACCTGAGGAGGGCAGTACGCGGAACCTAGCTATATGCAGATTCTTCACCTCTTTGTAAGTTTCTGGTTAGTTCCAAATTAAAAGTTCAACAACAAGAAGAGAAATAGGACCATTGTAGCAGTGAACAAAGACAGTAACAAATCGCTGCTGCAACTGACCCACTTTTTCCTCTGCAGCAGACGCTGGCATAACAGGCTTGTTGTTGTTGTTGTTAAGTGCCGTCGAGTCGTTTCCGACTCATAGCGACCCCATGCACAGCAGAACGAAACACTGCCCGATCCCGCACCAGCCCCACAATCCCTGCTATACTCGAGCCCATCATCGCAGCCACTGTATCAATCCATCTCGTTGAAGGCCTCCCCCTCTTTCGTCGACCCTCCACCCTACCAAGCATGACATCCTTCTCCAGGGAATGATCCCTTCTGACAACATGACCAAAATAGGTGAGACGAAGTCTGGCCATTCTTGCTTCCAAGGAGCATTCTGGCTGCACTTCCTCCAGGACAGATCTGTTAGTTCTTTTAGCAGTCCATGGTACTTTCAGCATTCTTCGCCAGCACCACGACTCAAAAGCATCAACTCTTCTTCGGTCTTCCCTATTCATTGTCCAGCTCTCACATGCATACAAGGTGATTGGAAATATCATGGCTTGTGTCAGGCGCACCTTAGTCCTCAAGGAGATATCCTTGCTCCTCAGCACCTGAAACAGTTCCTTCGCAGTTGACTTTCCCAATGCTACACGTCGTCTAATGTCCTGACTGCTGCTTCCGTTGGCATCGATTGTAGAACCAAGCAACAGGCTAGGCTTTTCCAAATTCCAGTCGCCTGGCAACTTAGCAGTATCTGGTGATGCAAACACCGTCGGCTGCTAACAGTCCAGTCCACCGACAGGCCCTCGGAAGGAAGGCCTGGGATCTACTCCCACAAATTCAGTCGTTAACAACCCTACAGAGGATAGTTCTACTCTGACACATATGGGGTCGCCATCAGCTTGATGGCAACTGACCTGTAGCTGGTCCTCAAGGTCCAAAACGGTTTGCACTCAATGACTAACTTAGGTTGGTGGCCTGAATCCACACAGTGGAACAGCAGAAGAAAGGCCTGGCAATTTGCTTCCAAGATAACCCTATGGAACAGTTCTGCTCTGACCCACACATGCGGGGTTGCCATGGGGAGAAATGGAACTGGTGACTGGCTTCCTCTTAGTGACTAGTGATCTGGGCCGGGGAGAAGCTCCTGCGAGCTTCTGGGTGATGGCTGTTGCTGCTGGACGCTGTCCAGCTGACTGCCACTCACAGCAAGCCCACATGGCAGAGGAGAACTGCCCCACAGGGTTTTTTAGGCTGTCCTCTTTACAGGAGCACATTGCCAGGTCTTTCTCCCGTGGAGCCGCTGGTGGGTTTGAGACGCCAACCTTTCGGACTGCGGCTGAGCGCTTAGCCACTGTGCCGCGCGCTCCTCCTTGGATGAGTGATGGAGCACGCCCCCCAGTGAGTGGTGAGGGCTTTGCCAACACTGTCCCCCGTTCAGCTGCCAGGCTGAGCTGCAGGAGGACACAGGAGAGGACGAACGTGTGTGCTTGGACATGGCGTATAGCTGGAGATCCTGGAAGGTAGGCGCCCCACGAGGTTTCAAATGGACAGTGGCCCTCTCTCTGGCAACAGGGTGCCTTGGGCAATGACCCCCCTACCTGCCCAGTGTCTGCATGGGCAGTGCCACTGTTACCCTTTCTCTCTCCGAGTTTCATCAGCTCAGCTGGATGTGGCCCTATGTTAATACTCAAAAGACACTGTGCCCGCGAACAAGACGAACAGCCACGGGAGGGCCTGAGGTTCCTGGCTCCATCTAGACCCTCGGCCAATGCCCTGCTGAGCACGTCCCAGCCTGAATGCCCACCCTGCCCCAAACACCCAACTCACGCATCCAGCTGCCTGCTCGTCTCCTCTTTGGTATCTAACTAGCAGCTGAAATCTACAATGCCCATCCCAAGTCCACTTTCCCTAGAGTCCCTGAGTGGCACCAACAGTTACGCGCTCAGCTGCTAGCCAAAGAGCTGGTGGTTCAAACCCACCGAGAGGTGCCTTGGACACAGGCCTGCGGACCTGCTTCTGAAAGGTCACAGCCTTGAAAATCCTGGGGAGCAGGTCTGCTCTGCACACATGGGGTCACCAGGACTTGAAATGGACTTGACGGTTACTAAAAGCCACCACCACCGACACTTCCTCAGTGAGCGGGACCATCTGTGACTTCTCTTCCTTGTCCCCAGATTTCCAGTCTATCCACAAATCCTGTGGGCTCCACCTTGAAACCACATCCAAATCCAACCACTTTATTACCTCCGTGTGCTCCAGGCCCCCATCAGTGCTGGAAAGCCCCATGGAGCAGTAGTTCTATTCCGTAACACATGGGTTACCGTAATTTCAGGTCAACCAAAGGGAGGGAAAAGAAAACAAAACCCAAATAGCTCCCAAAGGCCCCTCTGCCTGCAGGGGCCTCTGTAGCCGTCTGTAGGCTGCAATCCCCGCCCAGCCCCTTCCTGCCCACCAGCAGGCATAATTCCTCAGTGCCCTCCTTTAAGGAGAAGGCCTCCTGCAGGGCCTGCCCAGTCCTACCTGCAAGGATGCTTGGCTGCTAGGCCAACGTCTCAGTCCTCACCTGATCTACACTCCGGGAGAGCAGCGGAGCGACCAGCACCCGTTCTCCCTCCCTCACCCCTGCGATACTAGGGGCTCACCTGATTCCAAGCAGCGAAGTTGACTTTGTCGGCCGCATTGAAGGCCATGATGTTGTATTTTTTTGTTGTGTTTCTGGAACAGGCAAAAAGAAGGCAGTGCACATTCAATCATTCACTCACTCAACAAAACCCCCCGGCTCAGCCCTTGGTTCCACACAATCCTGCTGTCAGCTGCCGCGGACTTGGACCCCACCTCAGGGCGACCTGTGAACCCAGAGTGAAATATTGCTCAGTCATGTGCCACCCCCTCAGGGTGACCGTTGTGATCCATGGAGTTTTGACTGGCTGATTTTTGGAAAATCGCCAGACCTTTCTTGCTAGTCCATCTTAGCCTAGAAACTCTGCTGAAACCAGTGCAGCATCTTCTTGTTGTTGTTGTTGTTGTTGTTGTTGTTATGTGCCACTGAGGCGGACCCGACTCACAGCAACCCCTCTTTGGGTTTCCGAGGCAGTATCACCATGGAAGTAGGTTGCCCCATCTTCCTTCCAAGGAGTGGCTGGTGGGTTTGAACCGCCAGCCTTCTGGTTAACAGTCAAGTGCCTTAGGCACTACACCACCAGAGCTCTTAGTGCAGCGTCCTAGCAAAACACACACCTCTGCTGACGGACGGGTGGTGACTGTGCACGGGGTGCGCTGGCCAAGCACTGAACCCGAGTCTCCCACGTGGAAGGCAGCAATTCTACCGCTGAGCCACCACTGCCTCACACCAAACCAAAAAAACCAAACTCACTGCTATCGAGTCGATTCTGGACTCACAATGACCCCGCTGGGTTTCTAAGGCTGTAAATGTTTATGAAAACAGATTGCCTTGTCTTTCTTCTGCAGAGCAGCTAGTGGCTTCAAACACCTGACCTTTCGGTTAGTGGCCAAATGCCTTAACCACTACACCACCAGTGCTCCTTCCTGCCTCAAACCAGTTATCATCAAGTCAGTTCCAGCTCATGAGGACCCATGTTGTCACAGCAGAACTGTGTTCCACAGGATTTTCAATGGCTGAGTTTTCTGAAGTAGATCTTCAGGCCTTTCTTCTGAGGTACCTCTGGGTGGACTCAACCCTCCAACTATTCAGGGAGCACCCAAGAGCATTAACCATGTGTACCACCCAGGGACTTCTTGCTGGGGACCCATAAAAAACCACATAGTGTCCCAGTCTGTCAGATAAACCAGTCCCGTACTCTCCCAATCAAATGCCAAAATAGAGCAGGAAAAAAAAAAAAAAAAGAAAGAAAGAAACTCACTGCTGTCAAGTCAATTCAACCCATAGCGACCCCTCTTTGGGTTTCTGAGGCGGTATCTCTACGGAAGTAGATTGCCCAACTTTACTTCTGAGTAGCTGGTGGGTTTGAATCACCAGCCTTCTGGTTAGCAGTCAAGTGCCTTAGGAACTACACCAACAGATTGGGGGGAACCCAGGATGTAGTGCTAATAGAGAACGTGGCCCTTGTGGGGAAGGGCAATCAAGGAATACTTCCCAGAGGAAAAACTCTGGAACTGGGTTTTTTGTAGGATCATCAAGATTACACACAGTGGAATCACAGTTGGGGAAAAGAAATTTCTTTCAGAGAGAACAGCATGTACAAAGGCCGGGAAATGAAAGAATGCCTGGCCAGTTTGAGGCAGGTCAAGGACTATGTCTTTACAGTGAGAGTGTGGGGCACTAGGCCAGGAGACTGAACTGGGCTGTGTACTAATGTATTCGAAGACCCCAGCTGATGCAAATGGATAACACACTCGGCTGCTAACCGAAAGGTTGGAGGTTCGAGTTTACCCAGAGGCACCTCGGAAGAGAGGCCTGGCTACCTACTTTTGAGAAATCAGTCACCGAAAACCCTGTGGTGGAGCACAGTTCTACTCTGACACACATGGCTTGCCATGAAACAGAGTCGACTGCTGGACAACTTGGTGTCAACGTACTCGCTCATCCATTCACTCATTCATTCATTCAAACACAGCGACTTACTCATTCATTCAAAAACACTGATCCCCCAGAAAGGCCTCAGCTCAACACCAGCCCGCCCTCAAGGCCCTCCCAGTCTGCAGGTAGAACTAAAACTCATGACAGTTCGGGTTCCGTGTTCTAGGGGTAGAGATAAGGTCAGAGACTTACTTGGGAACTCGGACAACATACTCAGTGACATTCTGGCTGCTGGAGCCCTGCGGAGAGAGAAAGCGAGATGGTGAGTGAGGAGCTACCGATGCCGCCGCCAAGACGCTCCAACCTCGCCTCATACTCACTAGGGCCGCCATGGTCAGGAGTTTGGGTCCGCCTCCTCCTTTTCGCCTCTGCGTCCCTCAGGCCCGGGGAAGCTGCCCTCTCAGTCTCGGGACTCTGTCCCTGAACGAGGTGTCAAAGCGCTCAGCGACTCCGATCCCCGCTCTACCCGGAAGCCGCGCTCAGCAGTCGCATCCGCCTGGACAAGTGGCTCCTGGCCGGTCTACGGCTGCGCCGCCGCCCAACCCGGAAGCGAAATCTTCCGCGGTCCACGTCGCTGTGGCAACCACCTCTCTACTTCCTTGCCTCTCTGCGCACTCACATTTGTCCCTCTTCTTTCTTCGAACGGAACAAATTCCTGCCTATGAAGCGTCTTCTTTCGCTCGCCCTTGCGTCTTTTCCTGTATATACCGTAGTTAATTGCATCCTGACCCGTGGGAACGCCTTCCTCCCTGACGTCAGCGCTAAGACCGCAGAGAATCCTGGGTGGGGAGGGAACAATCCCTCTTCGCGGGCTCCCAGAAGCTCCGTGGTTACGCCACCTCCCTTCGGAATCGAGTCCAAGGAGGCTACGTCACCATAGCAACCGAAGCTTATTCTTCCCAGCAGAGTTGCGGTGGCTCTACCTGACCCTGTTTGGGGTTCATTTCCTGCCCCTATACCGGGCCCCCCCCCCCCGCATCTGGCAGACTGGTCGACCCAGGGCCCCTTGTGACGTTGAGCGGAGGCAGGCGGGATCAGGGCCTTGGTGGGGATGGTGCGCGACCACCGCTGGGGCCGCTGGCGGGATGGGTCTGTGCAAGTCCAAGCTGCCCCAAACGGGCAGGCCCCTGAAACCCCGAGACAAGGGTAACATCGTGGGGGTCATGGCTTATTGGGAGGAGGAAAAGGGGGGCTGTGGTGGGTAGAAGAGAGGTGCTGGGACCCATCCCCCACCATCCAAATGTGGACCCGCCCCCATACAGCTGCGCATGCTCGCTGCTCAGCAATTCATTGACCCTGTAGAAATACTTGAGCGCATGCGGGGGGCATATGTGCTGAGTTCTGGGAACTCAGCAGAGAATGTGTCAAACCAGTTCCCTGCCCTCTTAGAGATTACAGTCTAGTGGGCGAAACAGTCGCAAACAATGCGACGCTCCAGGAGAGAACAGGGCTTCCAAGTGGGAGAGGGGAGATTTAAGCTGGGCCCTGGGGGATGAGTAGGAGTTGATCAAGCAAAAGGAGAAAGGGAGCAAGATACAAAAACGGCACCATAAACAGCAAACTCCATTAATGTATCTGGTAGCTTTGGACATTTCATTTATTCCTTAAAAATAGTTGGCAGTTGAGTCGATTCTGACTCATGGTGACCCCATGTTTTACAGAATAGAGCTCCATAGGGTTTCCTGGCTATTATGTGTCTGTGTGTATACACACACATAGATCACCAAGAAAAATATGTATATATATGTATGTATGTATTGATTTGGGTGAAAGTTCACATACCAAATTCATTTTCCATGCAGCAGCTCATACACATTTTATTTCATGATATTGATTGCAATGGGAGCTCTGGTAGCATAGTGGCTAAGGCACTTGACTGCTAAGCAGAAGGCTGGCTGTTCAAACCCACCAGCCACTCCTCGGAAGGAAGAGGGGGCAATCTACTTCCATAGTGATACTGCCTCAGAAACTGATGGAGGGATGGCTATGAGTCAGGTCCGACTTGACAGCACATAACAACAACGATTGATTGCAAAGCCCATAATGTAACAGTTCTCTTCCAGTTTCCTCCCTGTGGTTACCTTTTCCCCATGTCTTTCTTTCCTATGCATTTCTGCCCTCTGAGCTATCTCTTTGTGCAAATACTGCCTTTCTGTTCTCCCATGGTTGATTGTTCTAAGGAGTGTATCTACCTGGTGTAAATGTTCCATCTTGTATGTCTGTCTGGTGTTTGGCCGGTAGCCACAGGTGGTTGTTGTTATGTGCCATCGAGTCGGAACCGAGTCACAGTGACCCCTCTTTGGGTTTCCGAGGCAGTATCACTACGGAAGTAGATCGGCCAACCTTCCTTCAGAGGAGTGGCTGGTGGGTTTGAACTGCCAGCCTTCTGGTTAGCAGTCAGGTGCCTTAGGAACTATGCCCCCAGAGCTCCTTGGAAGCCCAGGAGTGAGTTCAATTCCAGGCCTGAAGGGTGACTAGGGGCATGGACTCTGAGGTTTCACCAGTCTCTATCAGACCAGTCAGCCTGATCTTTTTTTTGATTTTGAGTTCTGTTCCACATTGTTCTCCCACTGTCTCCAGGGTCTCCTGCACTGATCCCTTTCCGAGGGGTTGACGGTGGTCTGTCTGTATTATTTATGGAAGCAGATTGCCAGGCCTTTCTTCTGTGGTGCCAGTGGCTGTGCCTGAACCCTAGCCTTTTTTTTTTTTAGGTTAGTAATGTAGTGCAAATCATTTGTGCCCCAAACTACTATATGTTGGGGACTGCGCCAAGCACTAGAAATCTAGGGATGAGCAAGACAGAAATGGTCCTTGTCCCCTTGGAGTGCAGAGTCTGGCTGCAGAGACAAACAAGAAGAAACCATTTACCATGAACAGTAAAATGAGTACTGACTGCGGTCAGTGCTGTGAGGAATGAGACAGGAAAAATAGGCATGGGGAGGTTCTCTATTTGTTTTGGTTTTGGTTTCTACTCAAGCCCACTCAGTACTGTTGATGTTGTTAGTTGCTCTTGACTCCACCTCCCTGCGACCTCATGCATGCAGAGTAAAACTGGGCCCCAGCGAGTTTTCAGAAGCAGACCACCAGGCCTGTCTTCCAAGGCAACTCTGGGGGGGGTTGAGTCCAACCTCTCAGCAGTAGTCCAGCTTCACTGTTTGTGCGGCCCAGGGGCTCTTGGGAGGGCTTTTAGATGGAGGATGGAGACGGACTGCCGTGTGAGCTGTCACCGACATGACTAGAGCGGGGGTCCTAGGAAGATGGAATAGTGAGACGAAGGTCCCTAGGGAGGGATGAGTGTGAAATCTTCCGGGAATAGAAAGGCCACTGGGGCCACAACCTTCCAAGGCAGGAAGGGAGTGTGGTGTGAGATGAGTCTGAGGATGTGGGTGTCTAAGTCTCCTGGTGCTGCTGTGACAGAAATGCCAAAAGGGGGGAGACTATAACAAACAACTTCATTTCCTCCCAGTTTAGGAGGCCAGGAGGCCAAATTCAGGGCACCAGCTCTGAGGGAAGGCTTTCTCTCTGTGTTAGCTCCAGGAGAAGGTCCTTGCCTCTTTTCGGCTTCTGTCCTCGGATCCTTGGAAATCACGTGGCCTGGCATCTATCTTCCCCCATTTATGCTTGCTTGTAAAAAAAGCACAGTCCCAATGTCACCAAACCACATGGCAGGCCATTAATTCAAGTCCATTCAAAGTCTCAAAGTCGTCAGAGCCTGGCAGGCTGCTGAACAATGACACAGCTACATACAGGGTTCAAGTGTGCCATAAGCCAGAGACCATTCCCTGTTTCTTACATACAGGAAGCAGATCATATACCCAAAGCAGCTACTCAGCTGCTCCAATAGATTCCACCATGGAGTTAATTACCAATCTCACCATGGGGAATAACTACATTCAGTTGCCCAGCCACTCAACCAGGCCCAGCCAAGTTGACACGCAAACTTCACCACCACAGTAGCTGTCTTCCAAATTGCTTGGCAAGGATGTGATCCATAACAGTGGTCCAGTCCCTGCCTCTCCTGCATGCTCAGCTGTAGGATGGCAGTTGTGAGCATTCACAAATGTTCTGTGAGCAAAGCATCTGGCCTGTCAAGTTCATCCTCATGTACATCAACCCTCAGCAACGACACCCAACACACAGCATCTCAGGCCCATGTGCCCCCCGGTGCCACTCTAGGGCAAAATTGGGTATGCCAGGAGACCTATGTCCAATGTCGTCCAACAATGTGCATTAATGTGGACACAGTCACACTGGTGCCCACCAGCCCCAAAGCCACAATTCATCTACCTCTGACATAGTTCCAGATGATGGCCATAACAGAAACACCAGTAGTGAGTGGCTTTAAAGATCAGACATTCATGTTCTCACAGTTCAGGAGGCTAGAGTCCAAATTCAGGGTGTGGCTCTAGGAGGAGATCCTTCTTTGTCTACATCAGCTCCTAAACCCAGTTGTTGTCCATCTCATGGAGACCCCCTGTGTGTCAGAGAAGAACTATATTCTGTAGGTGTGGGAGTTAAGTTGTGTGTCAACTTGGCTGGGCCTGATTTTGAGTGGCTGGGCAGCTGGATGTAGTTATTCCCCATGATGAGACTGGTAATCAGCTCGATGGTGGAATCTGCTATGAGTAGCTAAGCGGTTGCCTCCAGGGTGTGACCTGCTTCCAGTATATAAGGAGAAGATTTGGGAAAGGTGTTTAGCTTTTGGCACATCTGGATCCCACCTTTGGCTGAGTCTTCCTCTCAGTGGCCTGTCATGTTGCCTGCCGATCTTGGGACTATTTCTGGATGTGAACTAGTGCCCTGCCATGTTCTTTGCTAATCTTGGAACTGTGCCATTTTACTTGTTGACCTTGGGTTTGTCAGCCTCAGCAGCCAGCAGTTAAGAGAGGCCTCCAACTTCAGTGGGTTGGGAGCAAGAGGCAGAGCTGAAGCCCAAGGTTGAGGGACCTTCACCCAACTCCTCGAGCCGGTACTCTGAACTCAGACTTCTAGCCTCCTAAACTGTAAGAGAATAAATCCTTACTTGTTAAAGCCATCCACTTGTGGTATTTCAGTTGTAGCAGCACTAGAGGGTCAGAACAATAGGGTTTTCAGTGGTTGATTTTTCAAGAGTAGATTTCCAGGCCTTTTTTCCAGGGCACATGTGTGTGGACTTCAACTCCTAACCTTCTGGTTAGCAGTTGAGTGAGTTAGCCATTTGGGTCACCCAGGAACTCCTTGGCGTTCCTGAGCTTATAGATGCATCTGCCATAGGTCTGTCCTCCTCATCCCTGTGTGTGTGCATGTGTGTGTGTGTGTGTATTCTGCTCTTTTTGATAAGGTTTAGAACTCA